AAATGGGAACTCTCTTCACTACTAAGTAGCATAATTCTAAGCTGTGTATTTAGCTGCACATTACGTGTTCTCCACTCTCACCCGATGTTATCTAAGAGATAGTGGCAAGAACACAAGGTATGCCACCTGAGCTCTGTGGACCATAAACAAGTGACTGTTGCGTGCACTTGAATGCTATAAGCAATGGGAGGTAGAGAGTTTTCATAAACCAGACTCAATATGTTCAAAATGTAATGAATTATAGGGCATCTAATAAAGCCGTACGAAATGTGTGACTGTTGCGTGCACTTGAATGCTATAAGCAATGGGAGGTAGCGAGTTTTCATAAACCACACTAAATCTGTTCAAAATGTAATGAATTATAGGGCATCTAATAAAGACGTACGAAATGTGTGAGATGTCGAGCTTAAATAAAATATATACGATAAAGGCTATATAATTTTATTTTTTTGCTTTTTTACGGGAAAGTTACGTTTATGTAATAAGTTGCTTACCTGAAATTAAATCAGTTTTATTTGAATTAGTTTCTTATGTGTTAATGTTATCTAATTTTTTTATAATAATATATGATAGTGTTAAACATTTTGTCTAGGACTAAATAAGTAAATCCATTGATTATGCAATTCACAATTGTGACCAGCACAATGTGTAGCCAGTTTCTTTCGCCCAATCAATCGTTTACTGATTTAACAAACTGCTTAATAATAGTAAAGCTTCATGTATGGCATAAAAACTCCTTTAACATAAATTCCCAGTTGATTTATTGCAATTGATATAAAAAAGCTCATACGGTGCAAGGACGGCCGCCATTCGCTAACCACTTTCGCCTCAATTTAATTGGCGCAATTCCAATCTGAAAACAAAACACTGGCGTGCTCTCTGATAGTGGCGAGAAAGCCCAACGCTGTGAATTTGTGTCCAATTCTTCTATAGTTAAAACCCTATATTGAAAAAGTTATTAGAGCTTCTTAAAAGCTCTATTATTATCACAGACGACATTGAAATACATTAATATAAATATCCGTAGCAAAATTGTGAATTTAGTTAAATGAACTTAATTCGAGGTTCCTCAGTTCATTTCCCGGCAAACTGTTGCAGGTTGGATGGAATAATAATAATTAAGGGAAGGAATGTTCGGTAGATACTTTGAAAGGAAGAGAAACGAACGGCTACTAGGCAATCCTAATTTACAATTTTTACCGGTTACCACTTGCTGGCAACGCAGCAATATGAATTTAAATAGTACCTATCACTATCGATTGTTTAATGTTTATCTGTATTCAGAATAACTATTTATTTTTATACATTATGATGTTGTGGTGTTCTATGCTATGTCTATTAATAAATGTAATTTATTCTATCATTGCTTATATTTAATGTATTGTCAATGCAAAAACACCACGGTTAGTCTTGTTTTAGCTGCAATATAGAGGTTTTTACAAACACTATACAAAATGGGATTTTGCTCGCGTATTTCTCTGTTATTCTTAATTGTTGCTTACGGCACTTAAGCTTGCGTTAAGCGTTGTACGTCATTGTTAACATTTAGATTTAAAATTGCACCTTTAACATTTCCCCCGTGTATTTTAAACGGTGATTATAATTTTTCCAGCTGCGCTCATTGTGACTTTATCCAACCTTACTAATTTTGCTACGTGGGTAAGTTTTGAAAGAATTGTGACCCAAATAACTTGAGATAACTTTATTTTTATCAACGCTTTTAAAGTAGGTAAGTTAATTCAAAACAAAAATCTATGTACCATTGTTTTTCTTATATGTATGAAATCCATTCGATATGTTCGTAATATAGAAATAACTTTGGAAAAGAATAACTCTGTTTCTCTTTATGATAAGAAAAGCATTTCATAAGTGGAATTTTTATATGTAGTTTCCGATAACCAATGTTCTTCGGTCCTGAACTTTCGAAACTTTTAGAAGTATAAGTTATTTTAATGATTACTCAAACAGCGACTTCGTGTGACTGTCCCAAATAGTCTAAAATATAGACAAATTGCGTTACAAAATAAACCGATGCAGCGTCTTTAATTAAAATAATTTAACGACGTAAAAAGTTGAAATCAATCGAACGACAGAATAAAAACGTAAGCTCGCATAAATGTGACGCCCCAATTAGTGGTCGCTCCCAAAACTTAATTGGTAGATTCATTTGTTTATTCATCAGTTTGCAGCGACGGTCAACAGTCATCTGTTTATGTTGAGTGCAAAGTTAATGGAATTTTTGTTACAACACTAATTGTGGACTAGATTGATTGCATTTTTAATGCACTGAATTTAAATGCGGTAACAACGCAAATGACCGATCGACCGAATTTCGTTAACATTTGTATAAATCCGAAAATTGTTCACATTTTAATACATTAACAAGATTCCATTGCTCTTAATGGTAATGAAATACACTAGTACATTCCAGCGACATGTACGTATATTTTTGATTTAAATTGTGTTTGATGTGCTTAATACAAAAAGCGGCTTAGGCAAGTTCAGGCAAAAATAAAAAACAAAATCTTGTCATTCATTCATTTTCACTACAAGCGTTCGCGTCGTTATTTTTAGAACAGGATGCAGGCGAGCAGGGCACTTATCTGATGTTAGGTGATACTGCCCCCCATGGACGTTTTCGCTGCCAGAAGGCCTTTTAAGTTGGTAGGTATAATGAAAATGTAAAGTTACGACACTATATATCCTTTTTAATTAAACTTGTCCAGTATCAGCAACTAATATGTAAATAGTTTCTTAAGTAATTATTTTTTACCAAAACAGAGTTTCCTTAGTACTAGTAGTAACGTACGTTCCAAAGACTAGTACAATCTCAAGGTAAATAATTACATAAATAAAACTAAAAAAGAAAACAAATAGTACTATGAACCATCAAATAAACCAATAAGTAGAGGAAGTATATCGAGACCCGAGGCCCTGATTTAATAATACATCCCTATAAAAATTCCTTTCCCCAATATAAATAATAAAAAAAGGTTAAAAGTAGACAAACATAGAATATGTAAAACGAGGAAACGCAATTTAACGAGCTCAATAAACAAAAGGAAAATGTGAACAAGCGGAAATTAGCTTAGAATAAAATAAAACATGTCACGGAGAATGGTGTTTACACATTACGGAGATAAACCATAAAGATATATTTAGGAGTTTAGAGGAACACTATACGTACAGATATTTTCTTAGTTCTAATAAAAAAACATCGCGAAATCTAGGCATGGATTCTATTACAAAAACAAACGTTATGAAAAGATGTTTCTAAAGAACGGCTTTTAAATTATAAATCTACGACCCGTAGTATTTGAATTTAGAACGCGTTTTTTAGAGGCAATCGCTGTTATTTGAAGAACGTTCTTCCCAATTTGATTGATTTACGAAATAGATTTAGCTTCACGGGTTTATTTCTCAGGTCAAAGAAAATCACGAGTAATCCCCAGTGACATTTACTAAGATGTACATAAGCTTTGACTTATAAAGCTTCTGAGATCCTCTATCGTAGATTTTCTGGCAGTAAAATGAAATTTTTGTCGTACTCCATATTAATTTGTAAGATAAAAATATCTTCTTATCTTGCTTTTAACGTTAAAACAAATGACCCGTGGTGGAATATTACTTTGGCGATATATTACACTTCTCATCGCTTTCAAGTCCTGGCTTAAAGTAATCATAATAATTATATTATAACTGACAGTTAAAGTAACTATCATAATTTTGCGTATAAAAATTGGCGTATAACCACGACAAAAGTAAGGACAGTCTTTTAATTTTAAATCTCAAAGAGTTGTAAAATTGTAATAAAACATGAATTCATATGATTTATACTATTGAATAATCATATATTATGTAGACCAATTGTTAAAAAAAATAAATAAATAATATTGCTTCAATATAGAGAAAATAAGCTTGAACAAAATAAACAGCGATATGTATGAAGACCTTTATAAAACACAAAAAGAGGTATTGCAAACGAGCGCCGACAGTCTGCAAACAGGTGCGTCTCGGAGCCGTGTTGATGTTCCGATTTACATAAATACTGAATGATATTAACTCGATTATAATATTGAATGTTATAGCTTTGCATTGAGTAGGGTAAAAGGGATGTAGTGATCGATGTAAGTTCTATGTCTGTATTATAAAAATAACTTTTATTTAATAGGAACGAAACGTCCGGACAGTTTTGTGATTGTAAAAATACAACTATATGTAAAATATCGTGACATAAGTATAAAATTCAGAGACCGATCCGACCGAACGACCGATTCCGGCGAAATAATAACTGTTTCATATTAGTACAAAAGAAAATTACTACCTACTTGCCTAAAAAACCAATGAAATAGACGCAGAAATTTGCCTTTCATGGTCCATGGAGGCATAAAAATGGTTTAATTTTTCGATCAATTGTTAGTAATTAGATACAACGTAAATCGCTACGTAACACTCACTGGTATTACCAATAAGCTGCAAACTTGACTAATTTTAATCATATACGAAGCGTCGTCGTCGTAACGGAGCACCTTCGTTTAAGCCTTAATTCTTGACAAAGGCTCGATCGATATAATGTTATTTAGACTGCAACCTACCGATTTTCACAGTACAATAGATACCCTAAGACAGGTTTATTTTGCGTGCAAAAGGCTTTCCCTAAACATAGCCAATATTTTAAAGACGTTTTTTTTTGTCAACAAATGTGTTTCGTTGGAATTGCAATGTTTATTGATATTTCTAACGACAACATATTTCTAACAACAACATAAATTAATATGTTTTTGTAAAATATGGACAGCCTTAGTTATATACAAGTAAGTGACATAAGTATATGACCATCGAGCAACTTTTTAAGGAGATTTACTAAGTTGAAGGCCGTTATCTAATTTTTTTTTAAATTTAGGTTTTTAGCTGAATTTCTTTCTTATTTATTTTCATTCGACTCCAACTGGATAATTAAATCCTCATTATTAACGTCAAAGTGACATTGTTTCACTTACCTCGGTACCTTGAACCTTCAGTTTCATGTGATCTTCTCGGGTTGTCTTTCCGTCTTTCCGTTTCTTCCAGCAGTATCCATCGCGCCTGTACCGGACCTTCTTTCGACTGTACAGCAGCATGGAGCCGCTTTTTGGCCTGTAACAAAGAAATTATGTTTCTTAAGATCTGTAATTACAAGTATTGCTATACTTAAGAATTTTAAGTAATTAATACGTTTTTGACTATAAACTGGTAGAAGGGTGTGAATGATAAGTCATACTGCCGGTCACGGACACTCACACTGCGATAGCGGGAGCGTTACGGCCTTTTTAAACATTGCAAAACATAAAAGTTTACGGTTAGTATGTTTTTGAAGTTTACTTTAAATCTTAGTATTTAAAATAATGCATAGGATAATATATAAAGATAGCAATAGCGTGACTTAATCAGGGCTGCATTAATCAAGATAATTAAAAAAATTACATCAGAACCAAGTTCTGTTATTGATAGTGCGGTTTATTTCGAAGTGTTAAGCTAGAAACGAAATGAGGTAATAGACAAGTACAGATGGGGGCTATCGCTCCGTTTTGATTTGGCGTTGTTTCAGCTCCCCTATCAGTTAGATTGTGAATTTTTCTAGCACATTCGTTGCCAACTCGATTCCCCTATAATCCATTCAGCCGTGAGGCTTTGTTTCTGAATGAACCGCTTTAAATCCGATTAGAACATTTGGTTTGGAAATTTTTGTTACGATGAAATTAATCCTTGTTATCTTAATGAGAATTAAAAAAAATATTTAAAACACTACAAATACGTTCTCTTATTCGATCACAGTCAAGAAACATATTTAAAATGTGGGTGGTAATAAAAATCCAAATAAAACGTAATTAGTACTGGACAAAAGTTATTACTCAACACACCGATAAACATTTTACACCAACCAGTTAATACTTTTATTAAAAGGAAAATGTACAACCTTTTGGCAATTATCTATTTTACCACAGTTAAATTTTGCGAATACATACAATACAATTATAAAGAAGTAATGTTTGTGAGATTGTAGGTTCCTGTAATCTCTGGATCTACTGAACCGATTTTGTAAATTCATTTACCAATGGGCACGTTATTTGTATTTATTATTGGCTATGTATTAACTCAAACCAGAAAAGTCGTGGTAGTGAGAATTGCAAGGAAGTAGGTGAAAAAACGGTTGAAGAAAAACGTTTCTTACGAAGGCTGCCGTAACGGTGAGGGTTGTAGATCTTGATAATGCTTACAAAGAAGTCAGCGACATTATGTGTCTAATTTTGGTATTTAAAAACAAGTACTCCGCCGCGTCTAACCCGAAAAATACAAAAATAGATCTTTAATGAGGAAGGTAATCATTTTTAAAGATTTACTTGTAGATCACTTATAGTGTTGCCCTGGGCGGATCGTTAGTAAATTATAAACTGAATCTGTTGGATTTTTTTTTAAGAGAAATTAATAAAATTGTTCGAACGCGCAACAAAAATATATGTATAAATACATTTACTTCCTTACTGTTATTCCTTGCTTATATTTACTGTAACAATTATCTGTATACAAAAAGCAATTAATAAAGAAATTGTTTAGAAAGAAACGATACATAAACGATAACATCTACATCACCCTATACCTCCCTAATGACCGCGACCCATTTTCCCGAGGTTTACCGCGATCTCTATTAATGGATGATACGTTACTTTTACACTCATTTTTCACTTTTGAAAAGTAGGTTAGTTATTAATATTAAAGTGATCACGGTAGATAAATAGCTAATAAAGACACTTAAGGCATCGTCGTGGGATGAAAAATATATAATAGATCATACTTTTAAATACATGTGAATATGCCTCAGACAAATGTAAATTTTTAAAAATTGAAAATACCTATATAAGTAATTGTACGTTCATAGATAAATGAATAAAAGAATTGGAAAAGGAATTGCTTTAACTCTATACATTGAGTTAATCTAAAAGACGTTAAATTCAGTTAGCTTCCAAAGGAGCCTTTAATTTTCTCCACACATTAAGTGCAGAGTGCATATTATGCGACGCGTGTACCAGGCTTACTCCTAACAAAATAATTCGATTACCCGCTCGTGAGCCAATTACTAATCATATTTCACATTAATTTCGCTTGCGTTTCACGGCTAATCGTGTGCATCACACTAAACGAAGCTTCGTTGCCAAAAGGCTGGGATAATCTGACCGGGTAAATAAAACTCTTAATGCGAAATAATTAAAGTCTATTTTTCGACAGCATATTTTCGTTATAGCTAATAAAATTACGCTTAACGATTCTTGTGGGCGTTCAATTGAGCAATAAGGATGAAGGTAGTTTCTTTGAGTGTTAATAACTTTTGTTTCTTGTGTAATTTTGAAAATTAAAACTTTATAATTACTTATCGTAATTTACATAACATTATTGTATCTTTAATAAGAGATTTAAAGATACAATAAAGTAAATACGTTAAATTGCAATATTAATATAATAAAAACTACAACGGTAAAAAAGGTGGATGTGCAATCTACTGATAAACAATTTTTTAATAATTCAAAATTTTGTATTTTTGTATATTTGGTATTTTCGTAACGAAAGATTGATTAAAATGTTTTTATGGAATCTAAAAGTTTTTGTTTAGGAACTATCTTTTCCGAAATAGTTTAACTGTCGCAGTGAGACGTGAGAACGGGCAATAAAAACTAAAACTGCGTGCTATGAAATTGAAAGAGTTTTACAAATTATTTATAAAGTGTAGTAGTTTGAAGATATTTTATGTTGTATTCACTTTTAGTCATTAAATTGCATAAATTGTGTTAAATCCTAAATAAATTTACAAACATTTAAGGTTTTTTTACTTAAATAGATATATAGTGTAATATCAATTAATTCAGTCGAAACTGTGATTAAGAAGAATTTATGTAAAAATCTATTTAGGGTAGTAGGACTCCTTTCTCCGCAATTAGACTCGTAATTGGTCCGTTGTGCGTAAAAATCTATTTTAAGTAACATTTTCGTACGCGATTGATATTGAATGATCTTGGCAAGTCTGTAGTATCCTGTTGTGTTTTGAAATTACAACTGTTTTTTCATAATTTCTTTACAATATTTTATTAATTTCTCTTGAACGTAGAGTTGGTATATTCTTAAATCCTCATGATAACCGTGTAAACTAAATGAATAATCTCAGCAAGCGCTTTTCATCCGCACACAAGTGACGTACCACAATAATAACGTGCATCTATCACTCATCCGCACTTTACGCGCCATATAGCATCCACAACGCAATATTTTCCTCCATGTCGTTATATCTGAACGGCGGCGTCGGATACATGGCTTTTCGCCGACTAATAAATCGCGTATTGAACGAATAAATCAAGCCAATGTTAGTTTTTTTCGATGCGTCAATGGACGTTTGTTCGGTGTAATTGCATTCTTGTGAAGGTTTTTATCTGTTGAAAGTCGCGAGGTTTAATTATATTTAAAATGTATGAAAAAGAAGAATTTAAATTTAATACTATATGTATTATATATAATAATAATCAGTGGCGCTATAACCTCTATAGGTCTGGGCCTCAGATTTCTGAATCTGTTTAATGATCATTTTTCAATCCAGGCTGTGCACATAGAAAGAAAATCTATTGGTGCACAGCCGGGGATTGAACCTACGACCTCAGGGATGAGAGTCGCACGCTGAATCCACCAGGCCAATACTGCTCTCATGTGTTATATATAAAAGTAAATCGCAGACCTGCAAAACAAGTAAATGTAAGCCCCAACCTTACTGATATGGACCCATTTTTAATTTCTTGGTAATAGTTTATCATCTGACTAGTATTCACATAAGGAATATTCGAGGTCTAAAATACAGGTTTTTGGATTAGTAATTATAACTTCAGTCCATATCTTTTATTTAAAAATATATTTTATTAAAATGCGAATTAAAGAAATTCCATAAGAAATTTACCAATATTGGAGAACCCTTAATTGACCTTGAATTGGCCAAGGTTAAAAGCCGTTCATTACAAAAAATCAAAGTGGGTTGAGTTGACAGATCGTTCGGTAAGGCGCCTTTACGAGCGGCTATTTGTTCAGTGTGAAGAGATTAAACCGACTTATGTTTCACTATAGACATATATTGCTAGGAAAATGGAAAATACGTATAAGACTTATTGAATTCTACGCGTATATATTATAAGGACTGGGTATCCGTAACATAGATATTACTAAGCTTACATTTTATACTTGTCTTAAAATAAGAAATTCAGAAACAGCCAAAGGGTTCTTTGGTTACTTTAATGACTATTAAAATACTTAAACCTCTGTACCGATTTGTTCTATTTTCTGATTTAATATATTTTTCATAAATCGTAATTCCGATACGACAATGAATCATCATTACATTCTTGCATAATATACCCATACTTCGTGTATAGATACGTACTCCAAAGAAAAAGCACTTGTACAAGAATAACTATTGATAATTCGTATTAATATGGCATTTAAAACCATATCGAAAAACACACGAAACAGTATCGTAACGCTAAATCCAAACAAATTTATGTCCGTGATACCTAAACATACTAAAATGCAAATAGCCGAACTAATGAGGCCGCCGAGAACATTAACAAAAACTTAGTAAAGCATGCGAAACGCTATAATCGCATGATCAAACACCAATAAATCCATGATTCCTAACAATTTCGCATTTCGGCTCAGTATTTATCGTTTAAAAACGAAAATTACAGCGTAAACCCGCGGAACTTGTGAAATACTGAATATCTCAATCGGTAGAGTAAATTATGTGAGGCCTACACGGAATGGCTGAATTTTCATACCGTTTAATTATCGACTTTTTATCGAAGGCTTTTGTATGTTTGAAGTGGACTTGTATATTCAAAAAATAAATTAATTAAATACCTAGGCGGCCTGCGAAATTTTTGTATCCAACAGAAAGTCAGCCACTGATGTCTCTGTATGTGAAAATTATACAACTAAATAAATAAGAAACATAATTTTTAAAAAAAGGAAAGGGGGCGCTAGATGATTCCTGGAAGAGAGAGAAATACACGTTTTGGGTCGCAGAGTCAGAATTTAAAAAAATAGAATAAGTTTATTTTAACAGTAAAAATTAAATGTCAACTTATTGATGTTCTAAGCCTTTTTATTTAAGTTCCTAATCATAACGTTTCAAATATTTAAGCTTCATATATTTATAGCTATATATATATATATATATATGTAAAGGTCTGAATGAAACTTAATCAGTTTTACATGTAAAACACTTTTTAAAAAAGGTTTCTTTAAAGATTCCTTGCGCTTAGCTAACTGGATTTCCACCAATTCTCAAGGGGAAAGCATGAAAATAAGCATAAACTTATGATGCTACGGAGTTTGAGCTAGTTTAATAGTCAACAAGAGTTTAAAAAATTCAAGATTCTGGTTCAGCATTTTAAAAAATTTCACGCCCAATGAAATCAGTTTTATGCTTCGCCATTTTGAATTACTAATATGCTAAAATTATGCTTTGAAAAAATATACTATCTACACTAACAAATCTTGACTTGACACTTAAATTCTTATAAGGTATACCGCTTTTGAAAACAAAAGAATTTTGAAAATTCGAATGGGACTATGCAACTAAATTCCCAACCGAGCCGACTAACATTCTTAAAGATAACTTTATTTTGAAAGACGTAATGCCTATGATGTTGCGGATTGGAGATGGCATGTTGTTCCAACATTTAGTACCGTTTTATTGAAAACTACCGCGAAAAGAAGCTGTTCTATATGTACAAGTTCTTATCTCAAGTGTTTTCACAAAAAAACTGCTGGTGCTCATCATGTTGAACGCACGACGATTTGAGTACCGCTCACCACAAGCCTAACACGCTACGGAGACCGTAATAATAGGATGTATTTAAACAGTAAAGTTGTAAATACCTTTACATTATAATCGCATCTTAATACATTGTAGTTATGACATGCTGCTCGCAATATAACTCATTTTTTTTTATAATAACCAAAAGCAAACAGTATTGTGTGAGAGATTTAAGTGTTACAGTAGTTACATTTTGACGATGACATATATAAAATATTATTTTTGAAACATTTAGCGATCATAGAAAATATCCTCCATAGATTTATTGGGTTAAAAGTTACTATCAAAAACATCGCATCAAGTGCATTTAAACTTCAAATTTTCGGTTGAAAGTTTGAACATGAAAATGGAACTCAAATTCACTGACACTAATAATTGCATTCGTGCGATGCGGTTTTCCAAAACAAAAAATGATAATTATGAAGATTATCAGAAAGTTAGATCGAATTTTCTATAAATCCGTGAATGTTTTGTTTTCGCGTGCGATGCAATTAGCTTAGATGATATAACCGTGTCATTGGTAAGCTTTTTACCTTCTTCAATCTATTACAACGTTACACGGATTAACATCTTATGTCAGTACTCGCATTGTGCGTACTCAACTGGAAATCGAATGAAGGAAATCGAATTATTACCTGTGATGAAAAGTTATTCATCACCACAATTATTCATTTTCAAGTAGGTTGGTAAACCGCCTTTAGTGTGTTTAGGCTACCAACCCGAAACAATTGTTACTACCCCGATAATATAAATCTACTGGTTATACATGCCTTAATAACTCAACCGCGGAAGCTGAATATAGTCCTTATTTTATATAAAAATTTGGCTTAAAGACATGTCTTTTGTATTTTAATTGTATCTGATAAGTACCTTTATATACATTTTGAGTTAACGAAATAATTGATTCAGTTAGAGGCACTTAGTCTAAACTTCAATCAGACATTAATATAAATGTTACTCATTTTATATTGCTATATGCATTAATATTTGTAGTGTTAACAAATAAATCCTAAATTCATTATATCAGAGGTATAAAGCATAACCACAGTGCCGCGAAGAAAATGTTAAAGTTCCTGAAAATTCGTGAGGGCTGTTTTCACCTGTCAGACAACCTGTAATTGGCTTGCAAGCTTACGTAATCATGTAACTGGCACACAGTGGACCTGTTGTTTTTTGACAGCTGATGTGTTTAAATTTTTCGCCGAATTCGATTCTTTTCGAAGAAGTGATTTATGTGTCATATTGTTTTTTTAAACATTCGAGAAAATTAACTGTCAGTAACTTTTTTGTTTATAGAATTAAAAAATACATTCTCTCTAGAATAAAAGGAATGATAGAAAAACAAGATTTTGTTCGATAATTATTAAAAAAAATTAACACTTCGATTGATATCAATAACATTATAAAGAACAAAAGATTAGTCTTTTGAAACTACTGGCTCGATTTCAAACATTCTTTCACCATTATAATGCTCAACTATTTCTTTTTTTGTTCATTACCATATAATATAACATAACTACGTTTATTTCCAATATATAAAATAATGCAATAAACAGTGTGAAGCCGGGATAGACCTATCTAGTTATCTAAAAAAGACCCACTCAGAAGGTTTAATAAAATACCATTTAAGATGCGCCCTCCATACTTTAAAGGTAAAAAGGTGATATTTTATATAACGTACAATCTGAAGCCCAGTATAATAAATAAACTAAGATGAATAATATTTCTATAAACAATATTTAGCGCTATCGTTATAAAACTTCCTCATCAAAAGAATTTTCATTTTATTGTTTATTTTATACCATAATTAATAATATAATAATAATTATAATTAAAAAGTAACTAAAATAATATACAATGTGTTGGACACTTTTAACTAAATACAAATCACTTGTGCCAGAAACTTGGCATAAACGAAAATTTCAAAAAACCATTGAAAACTTATTTCATAATAAAAAAGCTCAGTAAAGTGATTCTATGTGGCTTAAATAATTATCGTAGGCAGATAGTCATCGTAGGTATTACATGGTCATCAATGTACTTGCCATGTAGAATAATGATTATGACCAATTACGGTAACAAAGCCTGACAGGGCTTAGCTTAAGTAATGGAATATTAGCATGTTACACTGACTTATGGGTGAAGTATTAAAATGTATGTGCTAAGTGACGTAATTTATTATTAACGTCATTCCGTAATTAACTATGACGTCGCAGTATTATGAAAAATGGTGAATGCCGAAGACAGTTTTCATAAAAAGACATTTCACCCTATATATTTATACTTTGAATAAGCCTAGAGTTCTGTGCCAGTTATTCTTATCCGTTCTACATCTTTGTTGTAAGAAATTCTAGTAAATGAATATTCGATATTGTTTTTATTAACCCTTGTATACTTCGTACATAACGTTAAATCTTTGATAGAGAAGGTTTTTGTAAAACATAGGCACAAAA